AGAGGCGGCTGCAATCTGAACTCGTGAAACGGATGCTTGTATGGATGTCGTGCGATACATCTGAAACAGTGGAACCAATTTTTTTTTTTATCTATTTTTCCATTCACTTCAAGTTTCAAAAAAATAGTTAAAATAATATGTTTGTCCAACCTTTTTTTGTTCAAATAGAAGATAATGTAATACTGAAGTAAGGTCACTTTTGATTTTTTTTCCCATCGGACATTTATTCCGTTTGCTTTCACCGGCACCGTTTTCTAAGAACTGTAAAAAAAATAAAACTCGAGAAAACGTGCTTCAAAAGTACTGCCTGAGCTTTTGCATGCTCGACGCACGGCCGCTTAATTTCAAAATATGTCGGAATGGAAATTGATGTTTTAAAACATATTCTTAGATAGTTTTATAATAGACTTACGAGAAAGAATGTAAGCCTCTAGAACAGGCTACTGCCTTAAGGTGCACACCTATTGTACTGGCCTAAAAAAAGGTGATTTTTGAACATTTTTATTAAATAAACATTTTTGTCAATTTATTCAAACTTTTTAGGAATATATTTTTATACATGTTTCAAGAATATACAATGAAATTTTTAAAGAAAAAAATCAAATATTTTTTAAGTTATAGTCGATCTCCAACGGCGCGAAAAACGGGCCTTCACTACTACAGTGATTCCGGCCTTCTTCGTGGACGAAATCTAAAAAAAAAATCCTCTGTATGTATGTATTGTCTGTACAATTACCGACGATAAAATAAATTCAAAAATTGACAATATGGCGGCGTTTTAAAAAAAAATACTCGAATTTTACTCAAAATTTTGGTTGTTTTTGGCCTGCCAAAGTTCGATTTTTTGATCAGATCATTCGATAGTAATCGGATCATTTGTTTTTGAGTAATCAGTGCAGCGAATTCGAAAAATGCTGTTTCGAGAAAAACGCGTTTAAAGATGAAATAATCCTTTTCGCTCGTAGCTAATGAGACTCCCTAGCTGCCGAGCGGCTGCTCTTTAAATTGCTATAACTCAAAAACTATTTGAGATATCGATTTGAAATTTTAATATGTTATTTTTAAAGGTGTAATCTACACTAGGTGTGCCCCTTAAGAGATTGGGGTTTCATTTTCAACATATTAATTTTTTTTTTTTCGGTATAAGTGCAGAATACCGACTTCTTGACCAGGGAAAAATTAAATAGTGGGGGTTGTTAGGAATATTTAAGCAATTCTAAGGGTATACAGCATTTCTTGTGCAAATGAATATTACGGGCGCCAGGGGGGGTGGAAAAGGGGAGAATCTCAAATTTTTAAAATGGCTATATTTCAAAAAATTCTAAGCCAATTTTTGTATTGCTAACCCCAAAGGATAGGTAATTCAAATATCTGTAATTTGATATGCATATATATATATTATGCTTAAAAGTTTTAAGCAAATAGAAGAGAGAAATATTTAAAAAAATATTCTTTTTTTAAAAAACTATTATTTTATTAAAAAAGTGCCTTATTAACCCTATATAAAATCAGATTAATCAAATAGAGTGCAAAATTACCTTTCATTTGATGTACAACTTGTTATAAGAAATACCTGTACATATTATATTTTACTTAAATTGAACCAAGACTAAGAGGAAGAGGAAGAAGAAGAAAAAGAAGAATAACAAGAACAAGAAGAAGAGTACGAGAAATAAGCTAATCAAACTTACAAACGTGTTTCACTTAAGAATACCATGCAAGGCGAAGCCGGTGCTGGTCGGGCTGGAAGTTATAATGCTTATAACGGTCTACTTTTCAACAGCACAATTTTGCCAATTCTTTCATTTTGTTAACAGAAGACATTCAAATTCCTGCACTATTTCAACTTAAAATTTTATTGTAAACCTTCTTTTTAAACCCCTTAACCAATTTTTGTTGACGATTCCCACTGAAAAACTTTAAATTTATACAACAACAAAGAACAAATTGGCAAATATTAGTTAGCATATGTAAACATTAGTTAAAAAAGTATGTTAATGCGTGACCCGCAGTAGCAACATAAAAAAAGAGATTATTTTTTGGTGTCTAAAGTAAAAGTGTGTAAACCTAAAAAAAATGACACGCGAATGACAAATTTATGCGGCTTAAGTAAAATGTGATTTTTTTATTGTCTTTTTGTTAATTTCATTGTTTACTCTTTTTGTTATAAGTTCAACTTAATTGTTTTAATTTTTTCTGTATAAATTTTTCATAATTTACATAGTATATTTTACGTAGTATATAGTATAAGTGTACAAATATTTTTTTTTTTTGTATTTTAATTTTTATTTGTTCCTTTTCAAACAAATTTTTATATATTTATTTTATTTTTTCTTATTTTTTTTTTTTTTTGATCTTCTTCCTTTGAAGATAGAAATTCTTGCATTACCTTTCTTTACCTTCCCTTTTACCATTATTAAACTTTCTTTTCTCTGTCACCAATCATATTTAATCATGATTAACATAAATCTTCTAAATTTCTACTCTTTCACACACTTTCTCACTTACACTCACACATAGTGGCTTACATTCAATGTGTCACCTCTTTCTCTATGCAATAGTCAGCCTCCTCTCTCCACCCTCCACCCGCAAGCTAAAGTATGTACCGTAGAATGATGTCATTTCCATTTTAGGCACTAACAACAAACCCTGAACCAGATTCGACCAACAGTCTAACCAATTCAAACGAGTAACCGCTCCAACCGGTATGGCATGCCAAGAAAAAAAAAAAACAAGAAGAAAAAAATCATAAAATATACAATGAGAACAGTGTAGATATTTGAGTTAAGAAAATCAAATTCATTAGTCTTTATGCAAATCAAAGCTTCTAGCGCATAAATTAATTTTAGCTTAACTTCTTTGCCGAGCGTAAGTCAAGCTCTAGGCTGCACCTAAGACAAAAGTGAAGAGAAATAAAAACAAAGACTTGAAAACTGTTGGACTTTACTGTTGAACTGTACGAACCGGTTTTAGCCAGGCGTACTAACTACCTAACGGCTCCGACAATGAGTTTTTCATTTTTTGAAAGTGAAACCGGAATCTGTGGCGCTCACTCAGACTCACATTGTATGCGTTGATTTATTCTTTTTCCATTTTTTTCTCCCAAACCAGCTGCGATTACTCGTATTTTCGTTTGAGATTACTTGTTTCATTTCATGTTCAATTGTTTCGAATTTTATTACAATTTCAAAGTTGTCGTCGACTGTGCCATTTAGTGCGCTGCAAGTTTAAGCTGCAGCGAGTCAAAAGCCTGTAAATGCAATTATGTACAAGCTTTACCCCCACCGGCTCTTGAGCTGTATACATATTTCTATACCCGCTGGTCAACTGACAAATCGTCGACACAGAGTCACAGTCAACAAGCAAAATAAAAAAAAAGAACAACAACAGCTGTAGAGTGGATTTCTTGGCCGTCCTGGCCGCTGATGCTGGGTTGGGCTCGTCATTTAACATTTCTCGACCGACCGGTTTGAGTTTTGTCTTTTGTGGCAAGTTGACTCAACTTTTCGGCAACATGCGCTTTATTTATGTAGATATACAGTATATTTGTGGCAATGGAAAATCGAATTTTTAACCGAAAAGTGTGCTCAGCTCGTTTGTCGAGCTGTAGTTTTAATTTCGATTTCATTTTGCAATATTTCTGTTATCTTCTTTGTTTTGGTTTTAGTTTTTTCAATGGCCGGTGTTACTTCACTTTGGTGCCACCATTAAGTCATATTACTCAATTTGAATTGAATTGCAATTAAATGTAATTGGTTTTGACTATTGGCTGTGTTTAGTGGACCAACGCCTGAGGACTTTGGAAGGCGTTTCAGAGACATATTTGCGAAATTGTGTACTTTTGCGCTTTGAATCAGTCAATGTTGATTAAAAAAAAATTTGCATAGAACTGAAAGTACCGTGGATATACTTAAGAGAAATTTTAGATAAAATATAGTTAGCAAAATGGTGGTAACCCTTCCCAAACATTTTTAGTTTTATGCTTTATTAAAACCTTTTATTATGAGTCATATTTACATATTTATTCTATGATAGTACTTTCTTTGAACTAAAATATTTCAAGCGGATGGCAACTCTTCTCCAAAAAAAAAAGGTTTCAACTGTTAGCTTTATCAATGCGCTCTAGCTTAGAGTAGATTTCTATATAATTCCTGTATTATGTCATTTTTATTAAATTAAAATATTTTAAACAGTTGGCAACCCTTTGCAAAAAAGTTCCAACTATAAACCTTGCTAAAGCTTTACTTTTGCTTGAGACTCATTAGTTAGTAACTTCTTTTAATTTTTATAAATTAATTTATTTTCAAACAGAAGGCAGTTTTGCTCAAATAAATATAATATAATGCAGTCAGAAATCTCTACTAACCCTCTTAAATTTATTAGTATAAAAACTTTAATTTTAGCTATTGTTAAAGAAAATTTTTTTAAACATGTGGCAACCCTTCCCAGTAAAAGATAGGCAAAAACCCTTATCACAACGTCTTATGTTTGGTTTTATTTATAAATTTATAATTTTTTTCTAACAAATTACTATTTTATTAGATAAAAACATTTCAAGCATTTGGCAACCCTTCCCAATGAGAATTAGACAGAAATTCCTCATCAAAACCTCTTAATTTTGTTTTTATAATAATATAATTTTTTTGTATCAATTTGTTATTTTATTGAATAAAAATACATCAAAGGAAGTGGCAACACTTCTCAAAATAAAATTGGGACTTAAATATGAGTAAATTTTTTATAATAATTTTATCATCTATAATTACTATTTTACTCAATAAATATACATGTAATTACTCTCACTAAAGGAGGCAACCCTTCCCAATAAAATCAAGAAATAAAAACTTTACAACAATGCAAAGTTTACACCGTTACTTTTTACAACTCCATTATTCATTGCTTCTTTTATTAGCAAATATTTTTGTATATTCTTTTTCGAAGCATTTTATTTTGTATTTATTTTAATTTATTTTTTGTTTTCTTTTGCTCTTCCATTGCAGAGGGTCGCGTGGAGGTCTCACGTGAGGGCAAATACTTATCGACACTCTCCGGCGCCAAAGTGTTGGGCGAATTGGCCATATTATATAACTGCCAGCGTACGGCGACCATAACGGCTATAACGGAATGTAAATTATGGGCCATAGAACGACAATGCTTCCAAACGATAATGATGCGCACTGGCCTCATACGGCAGGCGCAGTATACCGATTTTCTCAAGAGGTAAGTAAGCTAACAGTGAAACGAGGAAGAGGGTATTCATTTTTTTCTTTCATTTTGTTGTTGTTTTTTTACGTTTAACGGTAAATTTTTTTATTACATATTTACACATTGCTACATGCAATTAAGGAGCACACGAATGTAGGTGCGGTTTTAATGCACAAATTTACGTAATTCTTTGTAATGGAAAATGTACTCAGAGTTGCCATGTAAACGGGAAGTTTGGTTGAGTTTTGTGAAGCTTTAAGGATGCTAAAAGCGAAAAAAAGGCTTTTGTCAGAAACTCCGCCGCCAATTTTCGACTAAATTCTTCGTTGTTCTGGGCAAGTGCTGAAGGTCCGCTAATACCAGCTATCTCAGCAAGGCATTCTGGCGAAAGTAACCTAATTATCACTCCGTATTAGAGAGACAGTGTTCGGTCGGTTAAAAGTCCAGTTTGTTTCTATTTAACGACCCAACTGTCTTGACAGCTATAGGATTTTAGTCGCATTCTATGACAGACAGGCTTAAATTCTTGAATATTTAACTTACAGTTGGAAAGCCTTTCGTTCGTATTTTGTAGGCTCGAGACGTAGTTACTCTGGTAGCATCCTCAAAAGTTCTTAAAATGTAGTTAAGGACCGCTGTAAGGACCGCTCCTAACAAGCCCTTTCTACTTCTGGGCCGATAGGCCTCGTGTGCACTTGGCAACTGATATCTACCTGAACTCACTGTCTAAAGGAAGACAGCTGGTATCACCTGGGCATAAATTGAAGAATTTTATAAATGCGACTCTTAGCTGAGTCGGTTACTTGAGTCTAATGTCAACTCTTCATTACCGCGGAGTTTGACCATTAATTGGTTGAAAAGTTCATAGTAGTCAGTGGTATTCAGGGGTCCCAACTCAAAACTTGAAATAATGAAATAAAGGTTAAATTATAGTATATAACTGAAGCTCCCTCCACCACCAAATGCTGATGACTACTCGATATTGGAACCTATTGATAATTTTTGTTCGAGAAGAGACTGTTATTTCTCCAAACCTTGGAGGAGTACCGCCTTGAACTGAATGTAAAGTCGTAAATAATCCGACAACAAGCAACCTACAACTATTGAGGGCCTTTTCTTGTTCTTTCCGCACCGAAGTGCAGAGCCGCAACAAAAGCCTCAAAGCCTAGGGATGTTAATAAGAAACATTGCTCGAAACTTTCAAGGCGATCAGCTGGTTCCTCATGAATTACTCGGCACCGTTTTAGATTCTGAATACTAGTAAGATGCGGATAAAGAAGCTACAAGCCTGTAAGATCATCGTCTTGAGTACCCCAACAGCAAACCTCCTGATGTGTCCTGTATGCAGGGAAACATCTATGCTCCCAGTTGAGCGGGCGATCTCCTGATTACTTCAGAAAGGGACTACTTGACCTAACCCTAATCAGTTCAGCAGCATATTAAAGTACCGCTGACTGGATGAGTTACCAACAGTCCCTAAACTGCATTCACGGAAAGGCTATTAACATCTTCATTAACTCTCTTCTCGGGTATGACGTGAGTGAAAGCATAGCAGACAAATACTTTGCGAGACCTCAATTAGTTGTTGGACCAATTAAGATCTAGATACTGAAGCAGACTCAACTCTTACCTATGTAGGCTCTCTATACCACTAGTCTGAATTCGTCGAAACAGCTCATTTTCTGATCATTCCGGCATCGCCGAAATGAGTCTGGTCCTGAGTGGGCTTCAGCAAGTTGCTACAAACGCAGCAGTAGTTAACAGATCGTAGCTATATTAGTTGAGGAGGTGATCCTAGCCATAAACTTCATCTCCTACTTTTCTCAACCCACTTTTGGGAACACGTGGATCATATTTAGAGGTCTCGAGTCCAATGGCTTTTAGTCTTCGTAGATAAATACAAAATGTTAATGGGTTTTGATGAGAAGCAGAACTCAATTTAGCCTAGATCTTAGTCATTTATACGTACATATATCATGTCATGAACATAATCATCGCTTTTGTTTGAGTCTCTATGGCCTCAACCAGTCACTTTCAGTTTTAATGGAGTCACAAGTATTACAACATCGTCGCCGTAAATTATAATTGTACCCTTTTCAAACAAAAACAACGAACTATGTAATCGTATACACGCTCCTCTTCTTACCCTCCTTCTTCTTCTTCTTCTGCTTATTCTTCATCATCATTATCATCATCTTCATGGCAGCTTTTATTTACCTTGAGCGCGCTCACGTGGAACGCCTTTTGTTTGAAAATCTTCTGTAGAAGAAACATACAATCTTACACTCTAGAGTTATGTGAATGGTCAAGTGATTGACCCCGCACGTACTTATATGTGCTTTTCCATACTTCAACATACATAATTTTTTTATTCAGTATGTAATTTATACAAACATAACAATTGCATTGTGAAATATGAGAATATCCCATTACAAGTGGCGACATTCTCTGTTTTTTCTTCTTCTTCTCTTCTGCGTCAATACAAAGCCGGTGGTCATTGGCCACTGTTAGTATTATTTGCACAAGCAAGTGATTGTTGTAAAACGCATGGGCTCTCTGCAATTGATACCTACTCGTACTGTGTCTGCTAAATATTCGCAGAGAAAAAATATCAAAGAATTCTTTTTTCTACAAGTTTGCCTACAGTCACTTTGAAATTTGATCGAAAATTGGAGTTTCAAAACGCTCAAGAAAAAATCAATGTAGGCCTACATGAGAGGTGAGATCCAAAGCCAATTTTCTAAAACAGGTAGCTCGAAGTACTCAGGAGAAGTAATATAGTTATCTTCAAATAGCCTAGGGTAACCGATAACGAATTCGACGAAATACAAAAATGAACTTACATCAAATTACAAGACAAAGATTCGTAAATGCAAACGGGAGTAGTGGAGGAGCTTCTACAACGCTTTAGAAAAGGCCAGCGAGATAGCCAAGGATACCACAAAGAAATGTGTAGAATGAACTGGAGGCAGGGAAAACTCACTGAAGGACCTAGTCAACGTACATTTTCCCATGGTATATAGGCAGCGGCGGCCGCGGTAGCCGAGTGGTTAGCACTGCGTACTGCCATTCGGAAAGCTCGGGCCAAAATCCCCGTGCGACCAACATAAAAATGTTATATAAATGTATTTTAAATAAAAAATTAAATTAAATTTTCTAATTGCGGTCGCCCCTCGGACATGAAATAAAGGCTCCTCGTAAAAGACAGCTTAGTATAAACTGTAGGTCCCCCAATTGTTGAGAAAACATCAAGACGCAAAACCACAATTTGGAGGAGGAGGCGGAAAATCGCTTCAGCGGTTCAAATATATATAAATAGACATAATATTATAGATTTCCAACGGACGCTCCGAAGCGTTTAAACCCTCAAACATAGACGACATCTTTCCAGTTATGTTGTAAGAAATTTTCACGGAGCTGGCACCGTATCTGGGTATCTATATTAGGAAAAAGCTGCCGTCGGAGCAGGTAGAATTTGTCATCCTACTAGATATAACTAATCTACTGAGTTACGGAAAGATTACCGTGGAGGTGAGCAACGCCAAACTGTTCAAAAAGATCAGACGTGGAAACCGCATACACTTTCCCCCCGTTGAGCTATCAATCAAAGAGCACACTAAGTATTTGAAAAAGACCAGCCTTTACCTAGGACAAAAGACGCTGGATATCACATGGAACCTTCCTCATGCATTGGTATTACACAACGTTATTTAAGCTAATATTGCTCTACTGCTCTGTGGCGTGAATTGTGCATAACAGGAGCGTTAAGGACCACTCCAACGGCATCACTTGAAAGGCAACCCCCAGTCCGTAGTAGAGGAGAGTACTGCAGCGAAATCTGCCTTGGGTGAATTATACGCTAGAGCCTTCGGGTACAGCTCTATAAGCACCCACACTATACCCAACTGAGAAAAAAGGTTTAAGCTACGTTCAAGAAGGGTGAACACAGCAAGAATATACGTACCTTCTATGGTACGTAGGACATCTAAAAAAATGGATTTAACATTACTTATGAGAAGAGCGTGCTAGGCCTCAGACAATCCTTTATGCTTTCAGTTTGCTGAAATATTTTCTAAGCTGAGGTCTTGGCAATGGGGAAACTATTCATATGACCACACAAAAATCCATATACAAAATGCCGTATACAGAGCGGCAGCGGGTAAACATCTGCACACTCGCATATACCAGGTTTCAGGCTGGTGAAGGACAATAGTAACTGTCATTCCCGCTTCGAACTGCCACACGAGAAGCGCGCCTGAAGGATAATCAAATATCTCAATAAACCAAAAACCAGTAACAGTCTGTATCCTGAATCCGAGACTGTATGACTGTATGACCGCCTCACCTCTTACTCTGAACAGCTATAGATTTGCTTAGCAGCTGCTAGATCGCTGCTGGACTTCGGTAGGATAATCCTCTGCCTGGCAGCCTGAACTGTGCATTACTCGTTGGGATGTCTCCAAGATGATGAGGCAATACTTGTAGCTAAGAAAAGAGTAAAGAAAAGCTGGCTATAGTCGATCAAAGACCCAGACTCGCTTCGTCCAACCGCGACTATAACATTGATGTATCTGCGAGTAATGTCCATAAGCAGCGACTTTCCCTAAAAGAAAACTCCAGCTAGAGATCCAGTCTATTTCTTTACGATATTCCCGACATATATAAGCCAACCAAAGTTTTCCTCTTTCTTTTTGGCGGTAATTGGCAAACAGAAGAGCTTCCTGTACAGGATTGTTTGCAAGTCTTTCATCTTATATGAGTATGTTGTTCCACAGAGCGACTTTTGTGGTTATACATACATACATAACTAAGTACCAAAAAGTGAAAATGCCTACAACAAAATCAAACTGTATGCTTGTTGTCGATCAATACCACCAACCATCCATCCATTTATCTATCCATTGCCCCCACACAACGCTCCGGCTGGCTGGTGGCGATGCCTGCTGACCGATGCGTGCAGCTAGTTGCATTAACGCTTACAATTTCTTCACTAATATGTTGTTTTTATGACTGCT